TAAACTTTTAATTCTTACTAAATACCATAAATTGTGCTTATAAGTAAAGTTGTAGCTTATATTTAGAGCTACAAATCGGTATATAATACTATATGCTGATATTTAATCAAACTCGAACCAGACTCGAACTCGTATAACGGTTCGATTCGAGTTCGGTTCGAACTTTGAACCTTTCTTGAACTCAAGCCAAAGTCCGGTTCGGTTCAGTTCATAGGAACACTATGTCAACTCCCATATATATCAACAAAAATGATCAGTCCCGTGGGGTTGATGTTAGAGAGATACCACTGTACTATTCGATACTGGTTCGAAAAGATTTATTATTCCTAAGCATTATTCGTAAACTTCCCGTTTGATTTTTTAATATGATCACGTGAAAAGAGAATCGGCGAGAAATCCGGATCTTCTATATTAACCAATAAAATGCATAAATTTTAATCAATTTGGCGAATACATGTATACGGAAAAATAGAAAACGTCTAAAGCCTGGTCTATCACGTGATACATAACTATATAATTAACGATTGATTTTAAGCTTAGGGTTAGGGTTAGAGTTGTGATTAATATTATATATAAAATTGCCTCCCCGACATTTTTTATTAGTATACCAAGATAGATTTAAGCATCTGTTTTCCATTATTTTGCCCGCGCTTCGGATTTGTTTTGCCGAGTTGATCAAAAATTTACGCATCCTTATTGGTTTGTGTTTCGGACTGATTATCGGATGGACCAGGCTTTAGACATAAATTTTATTAAGTTTCGTAAGCATGTATTTTACTCATTGAATTTCTATACTGTAATAGTCTAGTTTAAAAATGGCCAGGCTCTCAAAGAAGTCAAATACGTTAAAAGCATTTTATTCTAAGACTTCTCAAGTATTTACCAGATTTAGAGAATGTTTCAATCAGTTATCACTTGCAAGATATGTCTCGTTTGGACTTGTGGGAAAAGTACTCTAGTTAACCTTGCAGCTGGAAGTGTTAAAAAAAGGTGTAATGTATGTTGAAGGATCAGATAATATTGAAAAATTTGGTGACAATTTCGCAAAGACAGTTAATTATCCTAAACACTTGGACCACTTTTCTCGAACCAAATTTCAAATTTCATAATACAGTCATCCCTCTATATAAGAACACCTCTCTATAGGAACACAATTTTAAGAACCGAATAATTTAATATTGATAATAAAAATGACCTCTTTATAAGAACAAACTCTCTATAAGAACCAATTTTTATGGCCCGACCATGTTCTTATAAAGAGGGATGACTGTATGGGTTTTACCTAGGGTCCCTATAATGAATCGGTTGGATTACTATGTACGAGAAATGAAGAATTTTTTCTTTTCGAGTGAATGATTTTCTACATGTAATATGAAGATCAAGTTAGTCAAAATTATTACATATCGATATAAATTGGTCGACATAGATAAAAGTTCGATCTTGTAAGCCTTATCGTTATTTCTCATGTAAAAAAAACTAACGGTTCGGAAAAGCAGTTTTAGTTCAAAAAATCAAATGCATTGAACCTCCCACATCATATATTGAAATAGGTGCAGAAATTTTGGTAAAAAATGAGTTCGTTGGTTGAAAATAGGTTTTGCCGAGCCCAACCGCTTTATTTGTTACTACAAAAAATTAGTAATGATTATACATAAAAAATTAGTAATGCTTATTACATCAAAAAAGATTTAAGATTTTTAAAAAAATCTCGAAATCTCTTACAACAATGGCGAAACAAGTAGCTCAAAACGTGTTTATTATAGCCGCTAAACGTAGGTCTATATCCTTATTAGAGGTTGCATTACTTTCTTAGATTTTGAAATAACCGTCTAATTAATTGAATTTTGTTAGGAACACCTTTTGGTGCATTTGGTGGAACTTTAAAGGAATATACTGGTATGTATTCAACCAAGCTTATACCAAATAACAACCGTAATTCAATTATACTCATAACTCGAAATTAAATGTTTAAACATTTAGCCACTGAACTCGGTGGAATAGCAGCAAAAGCAGCCCTAGCAGGTCTCCCCAAAGATCTTCCTATCGATTCTGTAATATTCGGTAATGTCTGCCAAACAGACAGCACCGCACCATACCTAGCCAGACATGTAGGCCATCGAGCGGGTGTATCAATTCATGTGCCCGCGTTAACGATCAATCGTCTCTGCGGGTCAGGATTTCAGTCGGTGATTAACGCGGTTCAGGAGATCAGATCGGGCGATGCTAATATCGTGTTAACGGGTGGCACAGAAAGCATGAGCAAATCTCCGTATACCCTTGCTAATGTTCGATGGGGTACTCGCTACGGAATTGATTTGAAATTGGAAGACTCGTTGGCTGCCGCGTTGGTTGATCAGTTTCCGACAAAAACGCCGATGGGTGTGACTGCTGAGAATCTTGGGGAGAAATATAATATCACGCGCGAACAGTGTGATGAGTATGCGTTGAGCAGTCAACAACGTTGGGCAGCTGGTAAGCTTTATTATTGTTGTATTGATCAAAATTAAAATAATAATTACATTACTATATATTAAATAATAAAATAGCCAATGAAGCAAAAATATTCCATAATGAATTGGTTCCGATTGAAGTAAAAACGAAAAAAGGAATCCAAGTATTTGAAAAAGATGAACATCCACGACCACAAACAAGTCTCCAATCGCTCGCAAAACTACCACCAGTATTCAAACCAGAAACTGGTCTAGTCACAGCTGGTAATGCTTCCGGTATTAGTGATGGTGCAGGTGCTGTGGTAATAGCCAGTGAAGAGGCAGTCATTCAGCATGGTTTAAACCCTCTTGCTCGCGTGGTAAATTATTTCGTTACTGGCGTCGAACCAACAATAATGGGATTTGGCCCAGTTCCGGCAATCAGGAATGTATTAAAGAGAGCGTCGTTAAATCTGTTAGATATTGAAATTATCGAGGTTAATGAGGCATTCGCTGCTCAGTATTTGGCCGTTGAGAAAGAATTGGGGTTGGATCGTAATATTACGAATACAAATGGCGGTATGTGATAATTTCGAGTTTCTTTAATGATTCAATGATGCATTTTTAGATTATTAAATTGTATTTTCTCTTTGAATTTTTTTTACAGGTGGTAAGTATATAAAAAAAATAAATGCATTTTCAAAGTTCTTTCAAAACTCAGATTACTCTTTCTCTCTTTAGCAATCGCACTTGGCCATCCACTCGCCGCATCGGGTTCCCGTATTTTAGCTCACTTAACAAGTGAACTTCATCGAACAAAAAAAAAATACGCTCTTGGATCTGCATGTATAGGTGGTGGTCAAGGTCAGTACTAATAATAATTATTAACACTGTATATACTGGGTTTTCTTTAATTGCAATTTACAATCTCACGTTTTGTTTTATTTTCCCAAAAAGGCATCGCTGTGATACTTGAACGAGTGTGATCAATACTTTCCCTGTAACAACATTAATTATCTTCAATTTATTCTAGAAATCTTTAGAATAATAGAAAAATCAGTTGTTAATGTTAATATTAAGATTGATTATATAATATTAATATTAAACATTAATAATAGATTATTAATTTTCATTGATAAACAAACAAAATTTATTATAATTTACAGAAGATAATTTATTCATGTTATTTTCTTTTCTCTACGTCAATTTTTCGTTTAGAATCTCGGTGGTATTTTTTTTTTCTTCTAACCATTGTACAGGATGTGAATTGTAGAAAGACCAAGGAGGTAATACCAACTTAGAAACACCAAAATATATAGATAATCAATTTTGGATCGAACCACGCAGAATACATCAAAAAAGGAGCTATAGTTACCAAAGCAGACAACGCAACTCCTCCCGCGAAAATTTGGAACGATAATAGTAGTGATTGCAATTGAAAACCTACTACGAAGCCAATAAGCTAAACGTAAAAAAACATCACGTTAATTAACAACATCTTTTTAATTTTAGTTGAAATTAAAACATTTATTATTACCGCAAAAGCTAAAATTATTGATTGGTACAAGTATTCTGCTCGTTTTTGTCCTTCGAAATCCTATAAAAATAAAGAATCCGCGTAAATAACTCTATGATACTATCAATGGCAGTCTAGAGAAAAGACTTACAATAGCCCACTCAAACCAATCGGCCATATTGTGTAGATTGTGAGCTTTTAGTTATGTGGTTGCCAGTGTTATTTGGTGGTGAATTGCCATTTGTTGAGAAGTTGCACAAAGCAAATCACTAAGCATGACACAATATGACTCGTTTTGAATTTTTCGGACGCGTCGTTTTTATCGGATAATTTTTTTAATGTCAACCATTTGCATTACTATAAATGCTTTCTTTTAGGTTTAGTTCATTAAAAATTTGTGCATATTGCTACAAAGCTTCTCAAGTTTATATAATTCCACTAATAAAATTTTCACCGAAAAACCCTACATTCACAATGAAATTACCACCAATTTGCAATCTTCAAATACGAGCCTTTCAAACCACCACTTGCTGTTTGAAACAGAGAGAGAAAAAAACGTCAAGAAGTAAACGGTCAGCTATTGAGCAGAATCGAGCAGGAGGCGCGAAGAGATCAAAAGGAAAAGGAATGAAAGAAAAACGAAGGGGAATAGCAAAAAGTAATTTTAAAGGAGGAATCAGTCGCATCAGTAGTAGCGTTGTTCGGGATAAATCGAAAACTCCAGTATCGAAACTTAGTAAAGATACTTATGAGGCTTGGGGGTTTAGTGGGGCTGGTAGACGTGCTGCTGATGAAAACGATAAGAGTGCCACCACAATGTTACGGAAGAAAGGTAATTTAGAGCGAGGGAAGAGTCAATTTCTTGGTAGAAGGAATGGAAGTAATAATGATTATTATAAATCATCCAAGGATGTTGATAAAGGGTTTAGTAATTCTTCGTTAAGTATGAATTATTCACAAAGGAGAGAAACAGAAGAAATATCACAACAAACCTCTCCACGCAAAATTCAATTCCCATCCCCATCGTCACCAAAAAATTATTTTACAAGAAAACCGACAACACCAGTCTCCAAAAAGACGCGTGGTTTCATACCAGCAAGATTTAAACTTCTGCCAATAGAAAGTGATGTATCTAATAAAACGATTGTTAGTAAAAAACGACGGCAACAACCAAGAGATGACGAATACTCTAGCAACGCCGAACGCGAAAACGAAAATCAACAACAAACACGTAAAGATCGCGAAAAAGAATTTGGACTTTCAGAACTTAAAGGTCGGAATATAACTGATCTTATTGCAAAAGTTAGCAGGTCTACATTTGAAAGTATGGAATTACTCGGTGAGGTTTACACCGCGATAGTCAAAGGCCCACTGAAAAATATACAGAATATTAAACCGACAGATATTCAGGCGTTGGCGATTCCGGAGATCGTGAATACTGATAAAATGGATTTTTTGTGTGCTGCTGAAACGGGATCAGGGAAAACTTTGGCATATCTTATTCCTATTATTAATAAATTGAAATTGGAAGAAAAGAGATATTATGAATCATTGAACAATCAAATTAATGAAGACGAAAACGAAGAAGGAAAAATAGAAATAGAAAACGAAGAAATAGACGAAGAAAATAATAATGAGCTTTTACTTGATGCAAATACTATGGAGAATTCATTCGAAAGAAATGGTAAGGACAAAAAGAATCACGCAACAGATATAATTGAACAATTAAATTCAATACAACCCGAAAAAACTTCTCTGCGTCGATTAAACAGACCACGTGCAATAATCCTTTTACCCTCGCGTGAACTGGTTGATCAAGTCGCAAGTGTCTCGAAACTTTTATCACATTACGCGAAATTCCGTACAGTAGGTCTCACTTCACACATTCCTCGTAAAATAGTCACTCGCGAATTGAATATGCCCGTCGATATAGTAATTTCTACACCGGCAGGTATTCTCGACTACACCAAATCCAATACGTTATCATTTGCCGATACTCGATATCTCGTTATCGATGAAGCCGATACGATGTTCGACGCGGGATTTGGCGATGAGGTAAAGGACGTAATAAGAAACATCAAAAATTCCGCATACAATCAAAATCGTACATACCAGGTGATTATTGTATGCGCAACACTACCAAAAACCGTGAATCAAGCATTATCAGAAGAATTTCCACGACTGAAAAGAATCACCACACCTTCCCTTCACAAATCGTTACCTCACGTTCGCCAAATTTTCCTTGATCTCGCCGAATATCATAACAATAAACACGAGGCAATACTGGAAATTTTAAAGCATAACCACAACGATCGTACAATGGTCTTTTGCAACACGCGAAGGTCTGCGATGATGCTGGAAAGTTTTCTCTCCTCAAAAAATTTGCCGATGATTGCTTTGTACAGTGACGTGAGAGATCGGGAGAAAAAGTTGGAAATGTTTTGTAATTTGGATCCGCAAGCGAAAATTCTTGTTTGTACTGATATCGCATCGAGAGGTGTTGATACCACTTTTGTTAAACATGTTATTTTATATGATTTTCCTACTACTGTTATCGATTATTTACATCGTATTGGGCGCACGGGAAGAGCAGGAAAGACCGGTAAAGTCACTTGCTTTGTCACAAAGAAAAATCGTCGATTGGCCGAAAGAATTCGACGTAATGTTAGAGATAATAAAGTTTTATGTTAAAAAAAAATTCATTCACTAATTAATTATTGATTCGTTAAATTATTATTTGATTGTGTATACACCATATATTTACAGAAAAATTGTTTATTTACATAAAAACGGCAGCTTTTCTCACTTTCTTTGTCTCTAATAGTGCGCACACCCCAATCAATAATTTAGCAACCCATCAATCATTAAACAGTAGTAATATTAGTGTTTAGGACAATCGTTTTGCTTACGCATAAACTTAGAATTTTCGCCATTATCAAGCCCAAAATCAATTTCACCAATATTAGCACCGTCACCGTAATAACGATAACAAAGCTATTGAGATTCTTCAAATTTCACAGAGAACGCGATAACAGTACAGTCATCATAACGTCCTTGATCTTTTGCAAATATTTGCATGGGATCTTCGAGACGATCACACAGCGAAATAGCAAGTTCTCGTAGTACTTCTTGAGTTGTCGCCAAGCTTCCTGTTAACGTGGAAGTGGGAACAGCAGAGTGATGAATTTTTGCATGCGGACTAGTGATGATACATTTGTTAACTTGATTATTGTTGCCATCAATTTCTGAATCTGAGGAAGACGACGATGATGCAGTGGATGAATATGAATTGCTCGAGTCGGTATATGGTGAACTATCAAGTTCATAATCAATCGCTTGATATCTCATTTCACTAAGGAATTTTGCTACTTTGCGCAAAAAATCCGGCATCTTCACTATCAAATGATCCCATAATCCATCCGGTGCCACTATTCCTAAATATTCAACACCTGATTCTAGTATTACAAATTCAACATCAGGCTCACATGGAAATAACGGAGGATCAAGTTTGAAATACAAGTCTCCCATCGTGTCGCCAATGTTTACAGATTGGTCTTCGGGAAGTCCATAAGGATTTTTATATCCAGGCGGACGAGAAACTCTGGCCCTTTGTAAACTTAGATACATTTTTCCATGTCCGAATGTTGTTGTTGTTGGAGATGTCAAAGCAGCAGCAGTAGCAGATGAAGATGATGGTGCTGTTGAAGGAGGATTGACTTTTGTTTTTATAATTTTTTCATTCTCTTCCCGACGAAATACACCTCCATTTTTGTATATATGATAAGCCTTTTGTGGATGTCCGGGAGATTGATCCGTTGATTGATAAATTAGTTCAAGCCTTATTTTCGAATTATTACCAATGTGTGATTGTAGGGTTTTGCATAATACAGTTTTTGAGTCTCCAATGTTCGAAATTATGGCAACCCCATCAAATAAAACCAACACAATTAAGGTCGATCCTTCATCCGCCAAGATTGGATCTGGTCTTCCTATCGCAACCCATTCTGAAAATTTTTGTTTTTGCAATGATAAAAATTCATGATCGAGTGCTTTCATCATCTCACGCATTTTAGTTCGAAATAATTGTTGATCTTTGAGCTCTCGAAAATTCCAAATCTTTTCGGAATTTAACACTTCGCGTACATTATCAGGTATTACTTCACAAAAGTGTCTTGCTGCTTTTGCACCACCATGTCCATCCGCCAATACAAATATATTATATTGTGTCTGTGAGGGTAAGTGAATTTGTTCATTGATAGAGCGGGGTACATTAAATGCATCTTCAATCTCTGGATGCGTGGATTTGGCTGCTCGTTTACTACGAAGACCAAGAGTTTCCCATCCTTGCTGTTGAGTCACCGCATAATTAATTAGAGCAGGTCCAATTCGGTGATTTTTTGGCTGCTGTAGTGAACTTTGAATTTGAAATAAAAGGGACGATGGAAGTTGTTGCTGCTGCTGTTGTTGTTGTTGCTGCTGCTGTTGCTGCTGCTGCTGCTGCTGCTGCTGCTGCTGTTGCTGCTTGAGATAATAACACATGTTTTCATATGCCGCAACATCACTATCAGAAGAAATTGTTTCTGCGTATAAATCACTGTGCCAATCCGCACTTGTTGGTGTTGCACTGTCCAATGTGACTGTTTCCATTGTCGATATATCTGGAATTGTAACTCGAAGATTCAAAGTCGAGGGTTTCTTAGGTTCCGTAGACAAAGAAGACGGTGGTAGCACGTCAATCATATCAATATCCATAATATTTTCACTATTTTCATTTTCTGCAATTGATTGCATTATTATATTATTATTGTTGTTGCTGTTGTTGTTGTCGTTGTTATTATTGTTATTATTATTGTTGGTGTTGGTGTTGGTGTGGTCGTTGTTGTTATCAGAATTATTGTTGTTATTATTATTGTTATTATTGCTGTTATTATTGCTATTATTATTCAAGAAATTCTCCGGTACGGATATAGTGACTTGAACTTCCTGGTGTGGCGGTAGTGGTGGTAATGGTATGGTTTGTTGCTGTAACAATTCCTGCTGCGAAATTCCTGCGAAGCTTGCGGTTTTGCATAAAAGTCTCTTTTTAGGAAAATGTAAGATATTCATACATACAACATATCTATCGGCTTTGCCGTCAAATGCTAATAAAACAATTATTTCTAAAATAATATTTCCTAAAGTAAATTATAATAAAAAATACCTTTCAGAGAACCTTCTCGAAAGGGATAGTGTGTCTGATACCTCTGAATCAGAATCAATAACAATTATTTCTGCACCCGAGAATGAAAAACCGTTCTTTCGCGCCCTTTTACGTTGGAGTCTCAAGGACCTACGAGGGGCTGGTATAGAGTCTTGGTTTCTCGGCATTTTTTTCGAGTAGTCTTTTTTGGTAATATATATTTATGTGTGCGTGTGCGTGTGCGTGTGTATAGTTCAAATCATCGGCGACAAGGTTGTGCGGGGTTCTCGAATTTATGGCTATGGGTATTTGATTGTCCAATCACGGTTAAAAAGTTAAATTGATGAGTCATTGTGTTTCGAGCAGCGAAAAGTTTGTAAACTGCCAATCACGAATTATTCAGCTAGGAAAAAATGGAAGACACAGGCGACTCATCTCAGAGTAAAGAGTTAGATGCACTCAAAAAATGAGTTTGCGGCTTTAGAATGATCCGAAAATTATATTATATGGGCAAATAACCATCCAGCATAGCGATGCTTGTGCGTAATATATTATTTTCTATTCACCAATCTGCAAACATGGATGGATATACATTTTTAGAAAACCTCTCTTCTTTCGTCTCAAGAAGCAGAAACACAAAAGAATTACTAGTTACGTGGCTTTCAATAGTGCGTTTTTTAATATTCAGGGTGAAATCATCCCATCGTCGACAAACTCCAAGTTGATCTATGAGTAACAATTAGCATTTTATTCGTTCAATAATTTAACATTAATTCTCAAGACGTAATCAAAAGAAATTGTCAAAAAAACTCTTTGGCGATGACAGAGATACTATTCTATTGTTGATAACGACGACATGGGAAATTTGAGTCAGAGATTCTTGAAGTGCTACGATAACTTAATTGTAAACTTTGTTTGTATATACCAAGAAAGGTTTGTTCCAAAAAATTTCATTTTACCAATTGTATCAATTTAAAAAAACCTGAACGATTTACTTTCTGTAGTTTATCACACTGATGTCCACTTCTACATAACACCAGTTTTAACCCTATATAACATATACGCGCTACTGGGATGACCACAGTTTCACAGGAATGCCACTAGGTTACCCACTTTCCGAGAGCTAGGCAATTTCCAGTATAACTGGTTTTAAAATTTTAATTTCTTTGAAAAATCTCCCATTCTACACTGGTGCCGCATTAACGATTCTGACCGGGCGGATCGCCCTCCGGGTGAGTATTGTTCCAAGCCAGCATATTTGCTGAATCCAATCACCTGAAGAACGGTGTCTTAGAGTAGAGGGTGTACTTTGCTCTCAAAAAGTGGGGGAGGTACGTGACTTGACATAAGTTGATTCGAGCCCAAACGCTATCTTCGTGTTTAATTTTCCTTTCTTATCATCCCATTTAACACGTAACCTCATAATAAAAGCTCAAAAGAATATTGGTTTGGCATGAACTCGGAATACTTGGTAGAATTGAACCTGCTATTGTATTATTTTGAATTTGTTTGCGTTGAGAAAACTCAAAATTCTCCCGTGTCATTAATCATGCAAAAGTGTTAAAAATGCCATACTGATTTTCAAAATAAAAGTTTATTTATTGTTCAAGCCAAAACGCGATGTTAGACAGTCTCTTTCACCCGGATTGTAGTTCATCATGTTTACTGTAAGCTATAAAGCGACAATTTAGATTCAGTCAAAATTAAGCATTGTTTTTAATATTTTGCAGAGCAAGAATTTTTACTTGCATTATATTTATATTTATATTTATATTTTGTCAAATCGTCCGTATTTGTAAAGGTAGTATTCCATTTAATTTTCCATTTTGGACAGTATATTGGATTTAGCGTTGAATATGACCCTGAATCTAGTAATTTACCTTCTAACCTAATTACAATTGTATGTATATGCACATAGTCATGTATTGATCGATAAGAGATCATTATTGTTGAATATCCCAAATAAATGCTATTTGAAAAAAAGGATACCGATTCTTAGATTGATGGTAATGATGATGATAGTCAAAATTGCTAATTGTATATATAATGTTTTTATGACGATTGAATGAACTAAAATTATCCGTTATACTCGTCACATCCTCCTTCCTATACATGTAATATAAATGACAATAATGACGATCAGTTTGTGTGATTCATATAAATGACCTGAATTTGGTTAATCGGAACTTTAAATTTGGTCTTTTTATCGAGATAACGATAATAATGCACTTTCTTTTAACGGTTACACTGGCAATCTTAGCACGAATGATCTACACATTATTATTATTATTACGCGAAACTGACAACAATCAAAAGAAGACAGTAGACAAGGAAATCTTCCTACTTGTTGTTTAGTTCACAGCCGTCCGTGTACTGAAGTTGTCGTTTATTTTATTGAAGAGAAGAGGAAGAGGGAAAACGCGTCCTGGGATTATTAATTATTCCTTCTTTCTTTACATCTACCGCTACAATCTAAATTAAACCGATCGATAAACTTGTGTCATTTCCAAATTGACGATCTTGAATAGTGATGACGATAAACATAATGCCAAATTTAACCAAATTCTAATGTACTCTCATATTTATGTGTATACTACTCATCCTCGTAACCAAAAAAAAAATCTGATATCATTGTCATCATCGAAAACAAAAAACTACGATATTATTCGTTTTTCTTGTTCTCCTTCCGTTTATTTATTTACCGGTTTTTCCTTTTATTCCAACATCTTTTTTTACCAACCAGTGTTATTGTATACACGTCCCACTTCAAAACACGAAATTGTTCTTGATGGCAATTTCTATCAAAAAATTTTTTGGGAACTTGGTGAGTAATACTCTAATAGTACTATTTGCAGGTCACGTGAATAATAATATTAATAATATTAATAGATATATTACTGACTTAGATTTTTTTCGGCCATACTTGACTAAAATTTAATATTACTCTTTGAATTGCACGCGTATATTTCACCCAAAAATAAATAGGCAGCTAATATAGTGGAAAACCGTTGGTCGCGCTACTTTATAATATGCGCGGTTTTACAAGCAATATGCATTTGCTCAGTTCAATATATAATATTGGAGGCTAACGATGTCGATACGAAATCAATTGCTGCGTTAAACACGGAAATTTTACAACACATTATAATGTCTAGTGGCGATGCTGGGGATAACAAAAATAGTAATTACACTACCACAAATTTGAATCCGATGAAAACTATCGCAGAACAGGGTGAACGATTAGTTATTGAAAATGCGTTTATTATATCGTTTGATGTTTTCTTACTGATACTTTGTTTTGATGTCGTAAGTGATTTAAACTTTTTTATTGAATGATTGATTTGATTTCTAATTTCGATTTAATAATATAATAAATATAATAATAGGTATTTCACCGTGATCATATCGAGCTAATAGCTGTAATCCTAATTAATTTCTTAATGGCTGGATACGCGTTAACTGAAATCATCGACAGCCGTCTTTTTCTATCACGGATAATATCAGCTGCAGCAGATTACAAAGTCGACACCCAAATAAGCTTCAAATTCAAACACTTTTTTATAGCATACCTCTCGGTTTTAGCGTTTTTTCTGATCGTGTTCACTTATTTCGGGTATAAACTGTATAGAGAGTTTGAATGGCATGGGTTTCATCAAACTGGGGCCGATTCAGGAATGCAAGGTAAAAATAATTTTCCTTTTGAAAATCGATTGATTTTTTTTTTTGGATAAAAAATCTATGGATAACACAATAAATATTATTACAGCAATGTATAGAAACTATTCGGTGTTTAGTCTGTTGGTTAAATTGGATTTCTTTTTTATTTGGGGATTCGGAATTTTCTATGCTTATGAAAGCTACTTGAACTGGAATAAATCCGGTGACGCGAATCCGACTGCAACAACTATATATCTAACTGTGTTGGTTTTCCTGTTTCCGGTCATCGCTACTTTGGGGTTCATTGCGGTAAATCGATCGTTAATAGACATAGTGATGCGTGTATGCTATATGACTGATCTTTCATTTAAACGATTTTCTTTCTTGCATATAGATACGAAAAGAAAACAAATCGTTAATGTCTATATTTTTAGCATACCTTTTTTTAATACCTCCTGTTTTCATTCTTGGAATGATTCAGACTCCGATTAAACCGTGGGCACAGTTCAAAAATCGTTCGCAGTGTTGGTATTTTTTGTGAGTATTAATAATAGCAGTGTCTTTTATTCAAGGAGATTCGGAACTTGACGTTAATTTTTTATTAATCGGGATTTTTTATTGGAAATTTTGGAATAGCATATGTCAACGTAAGATTTTGGTTTTTTTTTTGATTGATTTTACGCAGACTTACTTTTTTAAAAAAATTAACTATATTATTCTGAAAAATAAAGTATTTACATGCGGATTCATGACTTTGGTAAGTTATTCGTGTTTTTACATATAGAAATGCAGAAATACATATTAAATCGGTTTAACATTCGCTATTTAATTAGGCCACATTCATATACGGCATCCTCGTATTTCGAACATTCAAAAAAGGGTTCTTACAACGATGTACGTGTTATCGACATATCAATGTATCAATTATATTGTTATTACAATAACTTTATTGACGAGTTTTCGCATTTTTTAATATGTAGTGTCATCAATAAAAATATCGCGTCGAGATACACCACGATTCACATTCGGAGACGGCTCTGATGATGAGAATGGACCCGATGACCGTCGTCGTCGTCGTCGTCGACGTCGTCAACGTGGAATAGGAGAAGGAGAGAAAACGAAACACGTGATACCTAAACAATCTCGTCGACACAATAGAATTGCTTTGGACTTGAGCAGTAGTGCGAATAGTAATGTCAACAGCAATAACGATAATAATAGAAATAATAATGTCAGCAACATTAATGATAATAGTAATTTAGATATAGAAAAAGGATATCAACATCATCATAGAAGGAACAACAATAAGGACAGGCCACAAATGATCTCTTTATCGAGATCACAATCACCACTTCGAAGAGAGGAGGAAGAAGAGGTAACATTGACAATAACACCATCCTCTGATTCGATAGCACAAGGACAACAAGTAGAACCACCAAAGAGAGATAGTTCGGAGACAATTGTTAGCGATTCTGAGCGCATGCAATGGGATTAAGTACATACCAATAATAATCAAAATCAAAATCAAAGCAATTATTTTTTGTACTGTATATATTTAAAATACACCTTATTTTTATCAAGTTTATAATAAGACGTGACCAGATATTTTGCAAAATCTCCCACGTCCTTTTACAATTACAATATCTCTTTGTAGGATCGACAATGACTTTACGTTCAGAGATAACACTGGGATAGTTTGCTTTTATTATGAACTTGCTCTGCCAACAAGCTGAAGCTTCTCATAAGACAAGTTAAATGTTTTGAAGATTTATAGTATTCTTTGCATGCTAAAAATTTACTGTTTTATATTATATTTAATATTAAGCATTTCGTGAAAATAATACTTGTTTATTTCTTGCATCGTTAAAAACAGACAGAAAAAACCATAATCTAACGAAGTTTATCAGTTTAGATTAGGTTATTCTTATTCTGAGCAGGATTCTAACATAACTTGTTTCGTTCGCTATATACTATTTAAATATTGTAAGTTTTCTTCAAAATATATCAATATTGATGACATTCTGTGCTGAACTGTATGTGATTCAGTATAGTACAAGTTTTATTAAAATATTTTCACAGCTGAAACATTCAACATTTTAATTAGTTTATCGAAAGCCAGTTGAACCAAATCCTTTACTTCCTCGTGAAGTATCGTCCAATTCCTTTTAAAGAAAAGAAAAAGAATGAGACAATATAGAGTATAAAATTGATTTAGCAGTAACACTTACGTCCACTCTAACTATTTTAGGTGTATATATACGTTCTACAATCAGTTGGGCAATGCGATCTCCTGTTTTAACTACATCATTGATTGTCAAAAACAATACGATTAGAGAGTATTAAAAGGAATTCTAATAACTAATAACACTGATTTAATTTAAATTTACCTTCGAAATCTTGGTCCCCAAAGTTAAACAAGAGAATCTTGACTTCGCCACGATAATCAGCATCAATTACACCGGCGCCACAATCAATCGAGTTAATTGAAGCTTTTTGTATATACATAATATAAGATTGTTACAAACAAAAATAGCGTGTGATTTAATTAGAAACGAAAATAAAATCGACAAACCAAGCGAACTTCTAGGTGCAATACGACCATAAGCACCCTCGGGAACTTGAATTGCTAATCCTGTTTTGATCAATGCTTTTCCTCGCGCAAGAATTTTTGTATCTTCAGCACTATTAAAATGATTATATTCAGAATGATTGTCCAATAATAATTAATCCAAAGAACGAAAATTTAATAATTATTTACCTATATAGATCATAACCAGCCGCACCGCCGCTTCCACGACTAGGCATTCGAGCATTTTTGTCCATTAATAGTACTTTGAGCTGAGGAGAATCTTCTGGAATCATAGTATCGATATAATAACTGTAATTCTCTTTTGATAGCTTATGATTATGATTGAGCCGGGGGATATAATAACTGTAATTTTCTTTTGATAAGTTATGATGGTGAAGATGATTATTATTGATCTGAGGAGAATCTTCTGCGGTCATAGTATCGATATAATAATTGTGTTTTTCTTTTGATAATTTATGGTGATTACTATTATTGTCGTTGGTACTGTTTTCGTTAAAAATTCGAAACGATCCTGAGGTTTTTGGTGCAGCAGTCATAGTATCGATATAATAATTGTGTTTTTCTTTTGATAACTTATGGTGATTACTATTATTGTCACTGGTACTGTTTTCGTTAAAAATTCGAAACGATCCTGAGGTTTTTGGTGCAGAATTTAATACTTTTGATTTGTTTGGTGGTAATTTGGTAACGAGCAACTCGGTACTGAATCTTCTAAACGAAGAGGCTGTATGGTTAGCAGTAATTGAGGTGGTAAATGGCAAGAACAGAGTTGTGGTTGCAGTTGTTTTTATAGTTGAGAATTTCGTTAGGGTGGTATTGGTGGTGGTAATTCGCGTCCCTTTATATATTTGTATTTATAAGGTGTAGTGGTACAAAAAAAGAAAAAACAATGAAAATCTGTCAATGATCCATTCATGACACGCGCGCGACTTGATGAAAAAAACAAAAACAATGATGACGAAACAAGAAAACACAAAAACAGAATAAAAACCAAATTTTATCAAGATCATTATGTAGCCATAAAGGCGGCACAACAAAACACGGTGTAAATACCGGATGAGATGAAGAAGTTAATTTTGATGAAGATGAAGGTGTAGCTAACGGAGAAGTGAAAATAATCATCTAATGTGAGAAGATTTTTAGTTTGTTGTAATTGTAATGATGGTAATTGGAAATTTTACTTGTATTTATATAGGAGACGTAAAAGGGAATTTTTTCGCGTGTCACTCGCTAGTTTTTTTGATCTTTTTTGTGTCTTTGTGTGACCAGCGTTACCATTTTGGTTCTAACGTTAATTTATAACGGTAGCATCATTATTCTCTGATAATGCAAGAAATTTGATTTAATCAATTTGATCATGAAAAAATGGCGTGAAATTAATTTTAAGTGATTTTTTGTATGCATGATAACTGAATAAATCAATTAAAATATAAAAAATCATGTGATTTGAACGAAAAGAAAGCCAACCATTTCCGCACATGACATCCCATTTCAAAGCCACCATGTGTTGCGTCACTACCTGCCACAGAAATTTCTCACTTGAACAGTGGATTGTTGTGAAAAGCCGGCACCCACCTGTCCTCTCTCTTATATAAAGACACCAATTGCTAACCCTTGAAGACCACCATGACGACGACGACAACATTTGCTACACAAGAATTGAATGTTAAATTAGTCTACATTATTTGTCGTTAGCACACACCACACACACTTTTCGCAATGAGCGACGAACATGAAGCAGCCGGTGGTTTAGATGACGAATTGTCGTTGCCTAAAGGTATCGTTTGAGAAATGTTCTCTGTTGGATGAATGCGAATTCACATAACTTACTTCGATGCTTGCAAATTAACGAGTTACTTGCTTTTTCAATGTGAAAAATTTTTTATTCACTTGCCTTTGTTTTTCCAAATGCGTTTGGTTTTTTCTTATATTTTTTACGGTGGGCATTGGTCGGATAAAGCGACGGTTCAAAAACTCATCACCGAAATGCTCCCCGCAGATATCGTCTGCGCTAAAGATACGAGAGATCTATTAATAGACTGTTGTGTAGGTTAGTCTTGTTTTTTTCGGCATAACATACGTACCTATACTATTCATACATTTTACAAAACCTTGGTTTACTGCATATTATGTTATCTTTTGATAATTCATCCATGAAGATTATAAACAACTATCGCCTTTTTTTCATGACAGAATTTATCCATTTAATTGCGTCTGAAGCAAATGAAATATGTGAAAAGGAATCGAAAAAAACAATTGCCGCAGAACACGTGATTTCGGCACTTCAGGTATTCTTCCTCGATCGATTCGTTTCTTCACTCTTTTAAAATAATACAATCAAATAACATTTTGCTTGTCCTTTGACACTTCTAAAAAATATAGGCACTAGGATTTGAAAATTATCTCAGCGAAGTACAAGAAGTGTTTAAGGAGCACAAAAAATTACAAAAGGTATATTTCTTTACATAAAATTAGTAATTTATTGTTAAAATCCAATAATTCTAACTCCTATGAAATTCATCGACTTTACAGGATCGTGATAAAAAGAGCTCGCGTCTTGAAAATTCTGGTATGACTGAAGAAGAGTTATTGCGGCAGCAAGAATTATTGTTTGAACAATCTCGTGCTAAATATGAAGCTCAACAACATTCATGATAATAATAATAATAATGATGATGATGACGATGATAATGATAATATAAATAAATATAAATTTGCAGTAATCAATATTTTTTATCTTTTACCTTCGCCATAACGTATATAGCTATTAATAGTAGTTAGTTATTTATACAAATATAAGAATGATTTTTTGCATTTTTCTCTTAAATATATTATTCCTGTTTACATTGCGTCAGACTGCGTGGATTTTTCCTTGATCTCCGGATGTATAATGATCCCTTGATAATGATCCCTTGATAAAGTAAATCACTTGATTCTATAATAGATTTTCGCGTATCGCGTAAACACGTTCTTTTTCTCACTCTCCTCAGAAGTGTATCTATTTATTAAAGAGCTTTAAAGAAACAAAATAATAAGAAAAGACATGAATAACGCACGTTCAATCTCCTCTTTGCCACTAAACCCGAGCATTCGTTCTAAACTGATTAAAGCGGGCTATCAGACTGTCAAAGACCTGAAAGAGACTACACCAATTGAGCTAAGTAAAGGTGATCATTAATATCAGGTTAATTACAAAGTATTATACTTGCACATTGCATTATTGATAAAATTCCTTATTTAAAGAACTGGAAATATCCACTGAAGAGGCCCTAGATATCCTTCAACATTGCCAAAAAAGTCATAGTAAAGAATTATTTACGCGTTTTCTTGATTCCAAATTGTGACACTTACGGCGAGAGATAACTTTTTATTTATAATTGGAATTTTATAGCCATAGTTAGATCAGTATCCGCGTCAGAGGCATTACAACGTGATCTGGATCGATGTCCGATATTTACGTCTTGTGAAGCGATTGATAAACTGTTTGGGGGTCATGGTGTGCCTATTGGAAAAATAACAGAGTTCTGTGGGGCCCCTGGCATCGGAAAGACACAGCTTGGGTAGGTTGCCCCTTTTATATTACTTTATTAAACATTTATGTTGATTGTTATCTTTTTAATATTAGAATACAACTATCAATTAATGTTCAAATACCAAAAAATTTATCTGGTCCTGGTGGAGAGGCAATCTATATTGGTAAGTGTTCTATCTTATTGGTTTAATTCGATTATCGTATTGACTTATTAGTTCAATTAGCCTCTTTAATCGATCATTTCGACCCTTTATTAAAGATACGGAAGGCAGTTTTATCGCTCAACGGGCACAAGAAATTGCTACCGCTACCGTCCAATCTCTCAGTGAAAAATCTACAGGTCTACTGTCGCTGAGACTCCCGTGTATTTTTCAATTTTGACTTAAATAATATTCTATACCATATATAATAAATTAAAGAATCTGATAAACCCTTGGGGAAAAAGAGCCATTGATAGACGTCGAGACTATTCTCTCTCGAATCCATTACTTTCGAATACACGATTATATTGAACTCTTGGCTGTGGTGAAAATTCTCGATGATTATCTAAAAGAGCATTCTAATGTACGTATGAGACTTATTATTTTTAAGATATTTATTTCTCATGGTTTAATTCATCTTTTGTTTTAACTTCTAGGTGAAATTAGTCGTAATAGATTCTATCGCTTTCCATTTTCGACAGAATTTTAGTGATATGGCGTTGCGCACGAGATTGTTGAACGGGTTAGCACAAGATCTTACGAAACTTGTAGATTCTTTTGAGCTTGCGGTGAGGCTTTTTTATAAAATTTTATTTCTGAAAGCCTTCTATTAAAGAGCTAGTCATCTTAAATATCATTATATTAAGGTTGTGATACTAAATCAGATGACCACGAAATTTGGCGTAAACAGCGGGACTATTCTAACCGATAAACCAGTCCTAGTTCCAGCCTTAGGTTTGAGAATAATTGCATTTGAATGAATATTCATTTTAATTCAACCAAAATGACATTTTTTTGGTGAACAAAGGCGAGAGTTGGTCTCATCAGTGCAACAATCGGGTCATACTTTATTGGAGAGATGATATCCGGTAAAAGTTATAGATTATTATTCCTCTTCGAATTCTTGATGAATGCAGAATAACAAATTAGATTAGATACGCGCATTTAGTTAAATCGTCGAATCTTCAAGAGGGAACTGTTCCGTACAAAATCACAGTAAGAAATCATCATTAATGTTGGAATTTTTTTATCACAACTAAAATCTTTTTAGTCTCAAGGTGTAAGGGATGTTCTGGAACCAGAGTACGTTCCACACGAAGAATCCCACGAATCAATTAATCGTAAAAGAATGCGAGAACAATTTCAAGGAGAAGAACAAGAATTGAGTAAACGTCATTTGGTAGAAACAGAGTAGTACTATTTAACTTTGATCATTCTAATCAGTATAAGCGTAAAATGGTTTCCCAAAAATTTGATGCACGTTATATTTTAACGATTGCAAAAAGAACAGAGATCAGATATCTATCATGTTCATATGATAATAAATTAAATATTTTATGAAGATCAATAAATGATTGATAATGAGAATCACGTGTTCTCAGATAATAAAACGAAAAGATATTAAGCCACGTATCTCTCCCACATCACAATGAATAATTTGAATAAACTCGCATTAAAGCAAGTCCAAAGTCTACAAAAAGATTTAGAGAAATTTGAACAGGAGGAGGACCCTTCTGTTGGGCTTCAAGGTAGATGAAATGAAAGAATGTTTCATATATTTTTACAATTTTGTTTATTAAAGTATTATTAGCTCTTGTTATTAAGGAATGGTGCGTTTAAATTATATTGAATAGGACAAATCTCAGCTAGTCTTACTGCTTTGAAACGGACAATCGATGATTATGACGGGCTTGCTAAGCGTGAAATAATTCTTGTAAAGCAGGAAAAAGCATTAGCGTATGTTTCTATTCTTGTACATGGGAATTGGTTCTTTATTTTCGGTAGAACTTGAGCTGATTTTTTAATACCGTTATTAATTAATTCATATCCAGGAATGTTATCAAATTGAGAGATGAATATAATAACCTAAGAGGGCAATTTGACAAGTTAAAGCAACGCGAACAAAGTCGGGTGAGTAATCGCACGAATAATTTAGCTTTTGATTCTATTCTATTCTATTCTATTCTTTAGTTACTTGACATATTAATTAATGAATTAGGCGGCCCAGAATGATCGTGCTGAATTATTGGGAAGACGTCATAATACATCTACGGTAAGAAAAAAAGATATATCAAAAAAATACAATCATAACAATAATTAACCATATAATAATTATACAGCCTGAATATCCATTTCAACATGATTTCCGAGAACAACATGCACTACGTGAACAAGATTTTCTCAATGAGACAGAAACAAAGCTTGATGAATTTATAGCACATGGACGAGAAGTACTAAACAATGTCTATGATCAGAATAATGTTCTAAAGGTATTTATTTTCTATTCTATTCAGAAGATAAATACATTTGCCTTTTTATAATTTATTCATGAATGAAGAAAAAAATTTTAATTTTCAGAGTGCACAACGAAGAATTCTTGATACGGCCAATGCACTTGGGTTATCACGTAACGTAATTCAGTATATTGAACGAAGATCAAGTCAAGATATGTGGATATTTATAGCAGGCTCGATATTCACTTTGTTCTTTATGTGGCTTATAGTTCATTATCTGACATAGAACTAAAGAGCGATAGATAATTACAAGAACTATGACGATGACGAATCCCATAAATAGTAACATATTGTTATTTCTTAAGATTTGTATAATAGTTTCATAGAGACAACTCTGAGACAGATACGCGAGATTTCTGAACCAAGTTTACTAGGGAACATCCAATAGATTTATAGATGCGCCAAATCTATAAATCATGTGATCAAATCACAATATATCATTATTTATCGCATGCAAAATATTAGTTATCGTTAGTTTTACAATTTTAAAATAAGAATTTACATGTTTGAATTATACAAACAAATAAACATGTTGCTTTTTTTTTGCAAGGTTACTTAAAAAAAAAAAAAACATAGAAAGCTCTCCAAACTAGAGCAAGAAAAATCCTATCACGATCAATCAACACCATCAAATGGGATGCTTCTATGAAGCTTCTAGGTAAAAAGTTGAATACTCTCGATTTTTTATTTTGAGGTCATTGTATGTACTGCATCGACTCGAGATCGGGAGAAGCTGTTCGTATATATATGGATTGGTTCCACACACCCTTTTTTTTAAATCCATTATACGTTATCGTTATTGTTACTGTAATTGTTATCTCAAAATATACTCTGCAATTCGTCTAGATTTCTTTTTTTTTGGTTTCAAAAATGATAATTAAAGAATACAGGGTAGTGAATAACTGCACTCTTGCAGAATATCAAGCAAGTATTAGCAAACCAGATGTCCAAAGTGTTCTTGTTAATTAAAAAATACAGTTTATGAACTCATTCTTTCTTTACCTGGTGGATTTACCCGGATTTTCTTTCATATTGGGTTTGTGCGGTGCCTTAAATAAAAATAATAGGTAGCTCAGTTGTACGCAGTAGCTGAAGCTTCAAAAGCAGAAACAGGCGGAGGAGAAGGTGTAGAGGTTCTAAAAAATGAACCTTACGAGAATGAGAGTGGAAAAGGACAATACACTTATAAAATATATCATCTTTCTAGGTTCGTTTGCCATCATCATTTTTTTTTGGTTTTGCGAATCCTGTTTATTTGGAGTGATTGAATTACTAAGATTAATTTTCGAGTTTGTTTTAGCAAAGTTCCATCCATTATAAGAGTGCTTGCACCGAGTGGTGCTCTGGAGTTATATGAGGAAGCTTGGAATGCGTATCCTCATTGCAAAACAGGTGGAATTCTCGTTTTTTGAATCAATTTTACGAACTATCATCATATTTATAATTATTTTTTTTATCATTGTTCAACAGTTTTGACGGTGAATAATTTATCATTTATATTTATTTACAAAATTATATTAAAAATCAATCTATTAAATCCTTTTATGTTTTTTTTTTAAAAAAAGAATGGGTACATGAAAGATAATTTTAAGTTAGTCACCGAAACCATGCACGTTGATAATAGCTTTGGAGAAATAGTAAACGTAAGTTTTCCTACTATCGATCTTTTGTTATTCCAAAAAGATGTTATTCCCGACTGCTTTTCCACAAACAGGCACTGAATGTATCGCCAGAAATTCTTGAAAAACGACAAGTAGTAATTATAGATGTTGCAAATGACCCAATCGATCAAAAAGACTACCAAACAGAACAGGATCCGAAATTATATCATTCTGAGAAAACTGGTCGAGGGCCCTTGGCTGATAAAGATTGGATGGTAAAAGACAAATAACTGATTCTTTTCTGATTTATGCTTTTTATTGAATTTTTTTTATCGTTAATTACATGATAAAAAGCAAAAAGTCACACCGATAATGACTTGCTATAAATTAGTCACGGTGGAATTCAAGTGGTTTGGTCTTCAAAGTAAAATTGAGGCTTTTATTCATAGTGTGAGTATATGAATAACCGTTCTTTGTTTTTGGATGATTTACTTCATACGGGATTCTTAAATTTTTTAATATAATAGACTATGCAATCACTTTTTACAAAATTTCATCGACAACTTTTCTGTTGGACTGATAAATGGTATGGTATGACGATGGATGATATTCGTGCATTCGAAGATAAAACGAAACTAGAACTGGATGAGGTGAATAAATATTGGGAATTTGAGTTCTGAATGAAATTTTTAAGGTGACGACGGATGACTCAATTTTTTTGATTGTTATAATAATAGTCTCGTGCCCAGCCTGGCCTCCAAGAAAACGGGGAAACAGTCGAATCAGAAACAGTTAAATCAGAATTCGAATAATAGTTAATACTCCACAGGAAGAATCCAATCAATCTGTTGATCCCGTCGCCTATTTGCTGATGAACCATTCGATGCTAAGTCATCTAGATGATGATGACGACGATATTTTGATATTGATAATTTAAATTATTCTCCAAAGAAATAATAAACTGCCTCAGAGTTATCGTATGTGTAACATCGTTCAATTTTGTATATCGGGTTAATAAACTTTTCTCTTTATTTATTTATTTATTAAAATAAATAAAAGATTTATCGAGACCCTGGGTTTCGATTATTTAATTTATTAGGCTTCTTGTATTAAGTTCTAAGAATCTTTTCAATTAGTATTAGCAATATTTCAAATGAATCAAAAAATTCAATAGCACATAACAACCATATGAATTTAGGTGAAATTTTAGATACTAAAAAAACAGTCATTAAAAGTAAATTCAATAATTAATTGATATGCATACCCAAAAAAAAATACTTGTAATCTTCAGATTTAAATATCAAGGATGTAAAAGGGAAATTTGAATAATTAAGAATAATATTTATTATGAATTCACATTAATATCTCGCAAATTATATAGTCCGTCTCTCGGCTTTTTTCGAAAGGTCTGGATCACCCGCATCTAGCCAACCACAAAAGTTTTCGTTTTCGCTTTTCTTCATCCAACTTTTCCTGCCACTCTGCTTTCACCCTTTCCTCAATCTCGGCCCTTGTGTTCTGATCGATCATCTTTGTGGTCACAGTAAACCCACCACTAATAGGTCGATGATCTGAGACTTTACACTCGTATCGTTGGTAATTCAATTGCTCTATCTTATCGCCGCGCCAGAGTATTCGATCGCACCACGCGGGTATTCGTTGTTTTTCCGAGGTATCGTAGGTGTCTTCACCGGGATTATATTTATATGTGGGTGCAAAGTTCAAGTCGCCTTCGGTGAACGATTTCAATCGGAACCCTGGATTGTTTTGTTTTTGTCTTATGAGTTGATCGTTCTGGCGGAGAAACGAAAATTCTCCTTCGCGCACTTTGGCGATTACCATGTCGCGCGGTGAGTCGATTCGATAGTTTAGGTCACCACTAAAGAAACATATTTCGTGATCCAAGATATTTGAGCCGTCACCGCCATTAACAAATACTTGGTTATATTCATCGTGATGTAGTGGTGGAAACTCTGCTGTATCTAGGATTTTGCCGGTGTCTGTGTTTCTTTGTGGGGTGTGAGTTTGCCCTGCAGCTAAATGACAATTCACAAAACAGATTGACGAATCATCGTAAACAAATCGTGTAGCGATAGCGCCCTATTCATTATTAACAACGAAAATTCATTATTGCGATATCAAAAAGCAGAAGCAGCTACCTATTAAAAAAAGGTAAAATAAACACCTTATTTCCGTGATATCCGCCTAAGCCAGTCTTACATTTCATCACATCGATATTCTTTAGCCGAGTCCATTCACTCTCCTTGATAAACACGGCCGTAAATAACCCCACCAAATTTTCCGATTTAACCAATTTATAATTGCCAGCGTGTTCGCGTACCGCTTTTACCAATTTATCGTGCCAAAGACGATATCGTTGCGTGATATTTTCGGCTAGTGCTTTGTCTGCCTTCTTTTTTGACATTAGCATTGTTTCTTAAAATTTCCGTGACGAGATGACAGATTATTATTATTATTATTGATATAGTGAAATAATGAAGGAAAGATAACGGATCCTTAGGTAAACTTACTAGCAGTCATCTTTTTAGACTCCAAGTCTATAATTTCTTGGAACCCAACGACTATCAAATCTGGTGCATCGATACTCGTAAACCAAAGTCTTAGGAATTTTACGTCTTCAGCTGATTCTTCTAGATCTGCGGGCTTGGATGCGTCAATGTTCCATGAACATATTAGGACTTTGATCTTGCGGTACTCGCAATATTCTTCTTCGCACTTGATCATCCTGTTTGCTTTATTTAAATTAAGATTAGAACGTGATGTGTTAAAGTTAATAAATATTTAATAAATAAAACTCACCAAGCCAATCCTCCTGCATCAACCCGTCCCACACTGAAATGTGCCCTTCCTCGCTTATACTACCAACTTGCAATCTTCCAATTTTATCTCGCCACAAACCTTCATCATCCACCAACAATCCAGTGACTGTAGTTTTGTGGGCCTGCCATTCCTTCAACACCGTCCAAGTTCCTTCCACTTTTCTAGCGTCATACACAAAAATTTTTCCTGTTTTGAAACCAGCCCAAAGATATTCTCCAACACCCAACAAACTTGTGATACAATAGTTCGAGACTGACACAGTAACTAATTTATTTAGCGTATCTGTGTCCCAAACGGTCATCATTCCATTATCGTGCCCAATATACACGATCTTCGTGTTACTTGTTTGAGCCATACACGTAACATTCCCGATATCATGTCCCATGTCTCTTTTAGGAGGGATGGTTGATCCTTTTTGTTCTTCGGCTGGACTAAATACTTCTACACTTTTGCCTGCTGCCATCCATAAATTATGACCAACAATTAGTGCGCATGTTTGTTTGCTTGCAACGCGTAGTGGTTTCGGAGTTGAGTTCAGAGAAATAGCTCCATTATCGGACGACCATTTGTTTAGTTTGCCATTCTCATCGATTGTCCAAAGTTGCGATTCATAACGTAAAATAAAAGATATCGCGTGATTATGTGTTTTTGAGACCATTTCCACGATTTTTCCTGTATTGATATCGATGGCAATAAGAGCACCATCCTGAGTTCCACACCAAACGAATCTCCCAACATCCTCTATACGACTTGCAGGTCGAAATAATAAACAGGTGACTTTAGAATCACCATGAGGAATTGTCGCCGTGTTCTCGGCAGTTTGTAATCTCCAAACTCGAGTGTTAGATAAGGCGGTCACCAGATAATCACCAGCAACTCCGAATGACCGAATTGTGCTTTTATGATGAATATCTCTTTTTAATCCTTCAAAATAGGGCGCACGACGATTCGCATGCAACGAATTAGGAAAAGAATTACATTTTGATCGTTCGTCACTAGAATCGAATGAAGATTCTGAACCAGAATGATCTTGGTTTTGATTTTTTTTTGGAACAGTAAGCCTAGACGGACGCCGTTTCACTCCATGCTCACCGATAATCATATTTTTTGGTGGCAAGGCAGGTCGATCCGGAAGCGGAGGTGGTTGATCAGAGGTGGAAGGTTTGACATTAGGAGTAGTTGATCTTCGTGGTGGTGATCGAGTTGTTATCTTTACTTCGGATTTTTCAGGTTGTCCGAGAATTTTTGTTGTTCGACGTGGTGGAAGAACAGGTTTTGCTACTCCTTTTGCAATATTTTGTTCTTGCATTGTATCATTTCTCAAACCCGTTCTCCGAATTGGTTTTTTGGGAGGATTGGAATTAGAAGAATCATGAATCTTAACTGATTTATCCGTGTCATCAAATGGTGAGCGAAAAGGCTGTTGATTTGGCCTTGTAGGAAGTGGCGGAGATATAGAAATTGACACTGCATTTTTTGGCTTTGTAATCTGTTTAGGCTTTGAAGATAGTTCATTTTTGGAAGCTAACGCAGAATTATTCCTGTCATAATCATGTAATACTTCTGGTTCTTCATTAACTATAGCTGAGAAAAAGGGTGACGACACTTCATTATTATCGTTACCATTTTCATCTGCAAATGGATCGAGTGCATGTTTGTCTTCAAATGGATCTACATTATTATTGTTCGTAGTGATATTGTGACTAGTAGCGCTGCGATTAACGTTTCTGTTGTGTCCATTGTTATAATTCATGTTGCTTAATTTAGAAGATGCTAATTGATTAGTGAGATTTGAAATATTTGAAGCAGTATTGATTGATCTCGTATTACTATTACTATTATTATTATGATTATGATTATGATTATTATATGATGAAACTTGACCAGCGCCACCGGTACCACCACCAACATAATTTTTTGCGTTATTCTGTATGCTTTTCAACAAATGGTCTTCTTATAATATTAGAATGTTAATGAGATCAATCTTGAATTAATGAATTATTGTGTTTTTAAAAAGGTCAGATTAGCATACTGTTATCGGAGATCAAAAATACCTGTTGCTGATGTAAATGTTAACTGTCTAATATTGTTATTGGTTTTCTTTTCGGGAATCTCACCCATCCCAACTGATGATGGTGATGGTGATGGTGATGATGATGGCTGTTCGAATAGTGTTTTCAACGAGTTAACCGATCTGCTAGTCTCATCATTATTAATACTATTACTAATATTTTTCCGCTCAGCGTCAGCATGATTTTTGTCCACCTGTGCTAACAAGAGAAAATAATGAGCAAGTTGCAACAATCGGTAACATCGGCGCAAGAACCACTCGAACTCGACTTACCAGATCTTCGATGGGGTATTAGAAACGGTGGTTTTTGGTTCATTTTTGTAGTAGTTGTTATTGAGGTTTAATGTCTTTCGTCTTTTGAGCGTTAAATAAAAAAAAAACGGTACAAAAATGGGTTTCTTGAATAAATCAAATAAAATTAGTTTATCTTCGATGAGTAGTACAGTCATACCTATATACAGAGTCACAGTTATTATGAATTTGACCTGCATACAGTCACCCGAGGGTGTGATTATATCAACTATAGCTAGCACCAGTAATGATCAAATCTTAAATAGCGATAGTTGTATCGGTGATGATTCAGATCCCTATCTATAGGGATCAGCATAGCAGACAATCATTTGGTCGTACAAGCGACCAATTCGGTAATTTTGACTCAGAACCGCTCGGTCCAATAAA